ATTTAACGAACTCAAATCAATGTTAAATAACGCGTTCCTTGCAGCGTAAGTCGACTTGTCCGTAATATTTGTAAGTATACTGATCATAGTGGACGGTGGTTCAGATGTATTGTGACCCCCATGTTATGTAAAACTTAAGGTATATAGACGTAAAGCTTTCGTGACTGCAGGAATTCATACCCTTTTTCACCTATGGACGATTGCTTATGTTGCGATCGAATCGTCGTGATTTATTTCATTATTTTTCCTATCTATAAGATATATATTTTTTTAAACTAAGGTTTATTTAAAACATAAATGAAAATACACAGCAAAACATGTTCGGGGGCAATTAATTGGGGGGGGGGGGGAGGGGGTGGGGTTACAAGATATCTTGACCACCCTGTAGATTGAACATCGCTCCATCTCCTCTGTAGAGACGTCTCTCGTGTTCCATTCCTTGGTTGCCATTCCGCCGTTGGTATCGACCACCGCCCATCTTCCCCTCTAGTACCACGCCCTGCCTTCTTATCAGTGAGCACGAACACCTCCTACATTTGCCCATGATTCTCCAATCCACGTGCTCCACTTCACCGTCACTGTCTCTCAGTGCAATTCCACGCATGCATTTTCCCAGTGCTTGCCTGCACGCCCTTGTAGCCTTTTGTTCAATTTCCTTTGTCATTGCCCCTTCCGTGATCCATGTCATAGCAGTCATCAACGTATCGTACAAACCCAAGGCCTTCAACAAAATGAATTTAAATTATCAAAATACTAATCATAAGAGGCGTCCGGCAAGGAGGGTATATGCTCACACCAAGACATATGAGGAGACGTTTTCCAATGATTGTTTTGGAAAATCAAAATAATTAATAACCAGTGGCGAATGTACTAGCCATCTCAGATTCAATGAACGCAAGGTCGTTCATAGCAATCAGCGGTAATTCATGAACCTCAGGAAATGATGGAAGAACCGAACAAGTAAGGCTGCAAAGTGGGGATAAGGATGAATACAGGCGGAGGAACACACGGATTCGACCAGTGGTTCTCAACCTCTTTAGGCGACTGAACCCCCTTTGTTGTTTTTTTTTGTTTTAACCGAGTAACCCCCTTGCCAGATCCAACATGGTTCTAAGAAATAAATGTATGAATAATTAACGTAAATATTTGAACCAATTGTCCATTTTGTGAGGTACCCTAACTAGCTGATAAACGGACACTGCATGCGTGACGTAATTTGTTCGCGCTCGCTGGTTGTTACTCTTGTAAACCACATTGTTTACGACCAATGAGTTTAGACATGCATTTTATATCGTCCTAGGTTGCCACGTGGATTTTAATTTTATCGTAATTATTTCATATTGGCAGATTCATTCATGGTTATTCACCAATGACTCTTACGTATGAAACAATTTCACACGTTTATAAATCCCCCCACGCAGACCCCCTTGGGACATAGCCACGCACCCCCCCGCCCCCCCCCAGGGGTCTGTATACCCTCGCTTGAAAACCACTGTATTAGAGATACATACATAATTTAGAGACATTCACTGTAGACAAAAGTGAGCTTGGGCAGATCACGTCCGCTACAGGGGACGGCGGCCGGTGGTCAGGACTCACGTCAGGTGGCTGTCAAGGGAGGGAAACATGCACGTAAAGACGTCACACGTGGAGAGGCGAGATGGATTGTTGCATTGAATGGCGACGGCTTGGTGAGGCCTTCATTAAGCCGCGGATAGATCATAGCTGAGGTCGATTATAATTATGATACATCTCGGTGGCGAGATGTTAACTCTCTCGCCTGGTATACATGATTCGATTCCGACCCTGACGCCTATATATTTTGGAGTTTGCATGTTCTCCCCGTGGTCGCGTGGATTTTTATCTTCTGGTTTTTCCCTCCACATTTAAAATCAACATGCGTTTTGAGTATTTGGCTGCTTTAAATGTCTACGTGATAAGCCAATTCGTTGAGCTATCATTTGTGGCCACGTCGCTTCTGTAAAATAACTATATAGCTCAGTGGGCCTTACCTGGGAAAATAAAAAAAAAATGTTTCGTTTAAATTAAATTGGTGTGTTCATCTCATCTTTCTCTCAAAGTAATGAATGTAATTAAACACGTTAATATGGTAATTATCTTGAAATTGTAATTCTGGTGACTTCTTCGGCTATTGGCAGAAACATGAAGTTATCACCGCCAAGTTATAACCATTTAATATTTCAACCAAGCTTAAATGTAACATGTCCTGTGAGTAGTGGCCGATGTTTCATCCATGACATTTTATACCATTCATATAATTTAGTAATGAGGAAATTAACACACCTGCGAAATAATCTTACATTTTATGTGAGTATAAAAATATCACTTGTAAATGTTTTATGTAAAGTACATCATTATAAGAATGATTGAAGGAGCAGAATCATAATCTTTATTTATCCTGGGGGAATCCGATGAGCTATGAAGCTAATTTTCACAGATGTCCAGTCGGGGCACGTCAGCGGAGACCGCAGTGGTTTACGATATGGACCAGAGTTAGGGTTGCATGGCGATCATCGCACTACTGTGGCTTGTCTTTAATGTACCTCTATGTGTCTCTATGGGTTTTCTCTGTCGTTTGGGTTACATGGCCACCATCGCAATCCTGCGGCTTATCTTTAATGAACTAAAACTACGAAACGATGGTTTTATTTCAACAAGTAAGGCCCACTGAGCTATATATACTGTAGCTTTTTCAGAAGCGACCTGGCCGAAAATGAAAGCCCAACGAAATAGTGTGTCACGTGGAAACGTATTACAGCCAAATTCTGTAAACGCGTGTCGATTCTAAATGTGGAGAGAAAACGCGGAGGACTAGGAGAAAAAAAACCCTCCAAATATACAGGCGGCAGGGGCGGGATCGAACCCACGACCATTCTGTATTCTCGGCGAGGGAGTTAACACATTCCTGCGGAGGGGGCTGGTAGGAACGTTGGTTGCTCGGTCAGTGGCCAGGGTCAACGGCGGCGTGGTGTATTCTGCAAATATGCCCGACTGTGAGGGCTGGCACAAGCCGGCGTGAGTAGGTTAAACGTTGAGTTTTATAAGGGCACCACGGGGTGACCAGCCCCTCCCCACCCAGCCCCACCCCACCCAGCCCCACCCCTCCCACCCCCCACCCAGCCCAGCCCTCCCTCCCCACCCAGCCCCTCCCCACCCAGCCCCTCCCTACCCTCCCCTCTCCACCCAGCCCCACCCCTCCAATTTTTTTATATCCGAATGTCCGGATACACGTGGACAGACATCCACAGACATACACAATTAATCCCCTGCCTCCTGTGAGAATTAATCCCGGTTGGGCTTCCAGTCCACTACATTTCCTATCAGTACCAGTACTAATGGGCGCTAGGTGGCGATGTTTTTATATATCCGGGTGTCCGGATACACGTGGACAGACATCCACAGACATACACAATTAATCCACTGCCTCCTGTGAATTAATCCCGGTTGGGCTTCCAGTCCAATACGTTTCCTACCAGTAACAGCTCATCAAACATGGCACCCCTCTCCTTTTGTGAAGGAAATGTGCACATTGGCCTGATGATGTTCTGATGGGTTTGATGGTCTAACCAGTGTCTTCGCGGAGGACTGTCAAAGCCAGTGCGGTGTGGGACGTTTGAATCTCGAATGGGGCCCTCGTTGATTACTCTGGACGCGTGGGAACACTTCAAACGGGTTCTATTCCGGCGTTTGGTGGGAGTAAGTAAATAAAAAAAACCTCAGCTGTTGTTAATTTACTTAGCGCACAAAGAACGGAAAATCCTCTAGTAGCTGTCTTTAACGGTGTCAAATAACAGATACTTGTCGTGTATTTGGACGCGATAGCTTATTTTAGTATTTACTTTACTGCATGATAAGCCACGTTGCTGAGCTATCATTTGTGGCCATGTCGCTTCTGAAAAATAACACCTCAGTGGGCTTTACCTGGTAAGATTAAACATAGTTTAGTTTTCGATTTAAAGCTTTCGGAACTGCAGGGGTTCATATTCTTGGTTCTTTCGGTAAAGTCACGTAGAAGGGAAGCAATACAATAAATAAATAATAAAATGCTCCATTTTTACTATTTCATTATTTCCCTTCTACGTGATTTTACCGAAAGAACCAATAATATAGTTTCGTTGTGTTTTTATATATATTTTTTAATGATTTGTTTACCTTTCCAATACTTTCCACTCCTATCGTGTTTTGTATTGTTTGTTCTTGTCACGTTCTGACCGGCCCCACACTGGATATCTGTGAAAAAGAGCTTTAACAAGCAGGCTGTCGCGACCAATATTATTCATATAAATGTGTCGTTAAACCCGCCACCACCCGACACAGACAATTAGTAAGGTCTTGATTTGAAGCTTTCGTGACTGCAGGAATCCATACTCTTTGGTTCTTTCTGTAAAGTCACATAGGTATAAAATTAAGATTGATTTTATTTCATACCTACGTGACTTATTTATTTTATTTTATACCTACGTGACTTTATCGAAAGAACCAAAGAGTATAATTAGTAAGGTATTGTGTCACGTAAACAAAACTCGCAAAATTCGTTACGAGTACAGCACACCGGCGCGTTGGAGAGTAAACCTACAACATTACAATTCCAGAACGACGTTTCGCCAGTAATTGCAACCAGCATCATCAGGCAACAGCCACACATGGCTGTAATGGTAAATGATTGCCACGGTTTATTTGTGTTTTGTTTACGTGATAAACCTCACGACTGGGCTGTGTTGGGCGGTGGCGGGTTTAACGACACATTTATTTACGCGATCTAACCCAAACGCCCCCCCCCCCTTCTATTATGTAAAAAAAGAGCTTCATAGCTTCTCGGATTCCTGCAGTCTCAATAAACATTCCGATTTACATTTATTAGAGCACATAAGTATCTGCCAACAACCGTGCTGGTCACGTGGCGCTCTGGGGGGGGGGGGGGGTGGGAACCAATGGGGAACTCGACATTCGTCCGCGGCGCCGATCCGCGGCGGGAAATCTAAATCGTCATGCGCGCATGCGCAGTGCGGCCGCGTTCGTAAAAAGTGGCGGGGCCGGGCACCCCTCTGGTGAGGCGGAGCGCGCGCGAAGTTTACTCCGCGAGGTAAAAGGCGACCGTCATCTCCACGAACGCGCGTTAAAAAAAAACAACAACAATAAAACGCTCGTGGGATTATTTGGCACAACGGGAGGTGGCGCGAGATCGTAACGGAGTTTTATTTTTTGTTTTGTGTGTGTCGGTGGAGGAGGGCCTGGGTTTGTGGGAAGCCTACCGACTTTTCCTGAAAGACCCCCTGCCCGGGGAGAGGGGGTGACGGGGGGTTGTTCGCCGTGGGAGCAAGGCGTGGGGTGGACGTGTAAATTTGTTGGGCGCAATTGCGCTGTAATGTTAGAACTGTTGTAAATGTATTTTGCGCGTGCGCGGTGCACAAAACCGGCGACGTTTCGGTGTCGGGAGTTTGCGCGTGACGTGACTGGTCACAGACACCGAGAGACGGGATACTGGACAGAGCAAGCGACAGATAGTGACTGGTGAGAGAGAAAGACGCGCGGTTGAGACGTTCCGAGTCAACATTGACGGACTAAGGGGGCAACACACAATTGCAAAACAGCCAACTGTGCTGGCTGTTCACGCCTCGTATAAAGTCGGACGATCTTAATTGCTCCCCCCCCCACCCCCCACTACTATTTAGATCGTGAGCACCTCTGGTTGGTGTGACTGGAACCCGTAGAAGACGCACGTGCGTTAAATGATCAGACACTTTGCTCCTGTTCTTGTAGTGGGGAGCTGATCAGCAGCTTTTATACATGCTCATATTCTTGGTTCTTTCGGTAAAGTCACGTAGAAGGGAAATAATACTGGTAGGAACGAAGTTGTAAACTGAGTGTACCAGCCTGCAATAGATTAATGCGTCCGTCCGTCCCCTTTCAATACTTTAACGAAGTGAAATCTCGTGCTGTTAGGTGTAAAATCAGCAATAGACAGCACAGAGACTTGATATGTCTTATTGCTCCCAACATTTGGAAGTCACATCTCATTTGCGAACTTCGCTTTTGGGGATGTTTTGCACAATTTTACGTAACAATTTCATAAAATTGCGCAAAATTCAAATGTTCCTACCAGCCCACCCTGCAGGGACCTGTTAAAAATAAAACAATAAAAAAAATTATCACGACGTTTCGGCCACAACGCAAGCAGCCGTCCTCAGGTGAAGAACAGAGCTGTCGGAAAGACCTGAGGACGGCTGCTTGCGTTGTGGCCGAAACGTCGTGATGATTTTTATTTTATTATGTTTTAATTTTATTATTTCCCTTCTACGTGACTTTACCTGAAAGAACCAAGAATATTAATCCCTGCAGTCACGAAAGCTTTAAATCGAAATATATATGCTCATGTCGAGGTGGGTGAGTGAGACAGCGGACGGCTTCAGGAATAGCCTCGTTAAACGTCTCTTAAATACTGCCGGCGAGTGATCGAAGAGGGCAAGGGCAGCACTATTGTGGCCCATAGTTTGAAACTGGCGACCAGAGTCCATTGTCGACTGCACTCCACCGTCGACTGCTCAATTCACAAGCAGGAGGTCAGGAGTGAAATTTAGGTTCAGGGGTCGGTTCAATCCAAAACCGTTCAGGGTTCGATACAATGAATACCACGCTGTGATTCTTTTACTGACAGACTGACCCACTTTATCCGAAAGTGGAATTTTCAGCAATATATTATTAATGAGAACCCCTTGAATGGGGTAGATGAGTGTGCTGATTATCTCCGCACATGAATGTATAATTTCCACGACTGGCTTTGTACTGCCATAAAAGATAAGCACTGCACTATTGTTTTATTTGAGCAGGTAGAAACTTGAAATCCTATTGAAACTTCAGATGTCCTTTAGAAATGCAGATCTGAGGTCGGGGACAACTCTGAACCACCCAGCAGGAATGACTTCACAAGCTTCATAGTGCTTTCCCTTTTCAGCCCGCTTAGGAGGGAATCTAAAAAAACCCAGCCCATAGCCTCACACATCAGATTGACTTTCTTATTTTAAGGGGAAACATCAAAGTGACATCTGTCATCGCTTGAGGGTTTCCCCTGTGATATGTGGAATGGCAAATACCCATGTTCATGACTTTGCCCAGTGTGACCCCACGCCTTTTAAAATAGCGGACACTAACTTAATGGGCATACTTGCTAGAATGAACTTGATGTTTTCAGCAAGTATGTAGCTCGCTGAGATGCATTATTTACAAGCGCGTTATTATGTAGGGTCACTTGGTATTCATATAATTGTAATCTCGGGTAATAAAACACAGTATTTGAGTTACCAAATTTGGTGTGAGTGAAGCTGAGAAAACAAGGCGTTCTTTTGCTCGTTACGACAGGACATGTTGAACGCGGTTTTTGAAATGGAACATTAACATTTGCTCAGATATGTCCTTGAGAAAACAGAACAACTCTGGTGGCACCTGCCCAGTTGTGTGCATACGCATTGAAAATGTGTCTTGTTCGTCGTTTCCTAGCAGCGAAACATGTTTACAGCACACGCTGCTTCAGCCAGAGAGTTGTCAGTTGTGCAACACGATTAGGGAGTAAAATGTCTGGTTTATAACATTCTACAAAACATTTTAATAGAGTTAAGGTCTACATATATTTGTGTTTTTAAGTACAAAATGAAGTTCGTACTGAAATGTATAGGATTGACGTAACAGAGGAGTGTCATAACAGGAGTAATTCATTGCTTTTTCAATTGACTAACACACTTCGTCATGCTTATCTTACTGCCCTGGGAAATTTAGCACCAAGTATTGCAGGCAAAGGGTGGTACAATGTCCTTTGGTACTGTTACTTGTCCAGTGCCCAGCATGCCATATGGAGGTGACAATTTTTTTGTACTCCTTATTTGAGCCACTCGGCAGGATAGGTGTGTCTGGATTAGGGCCAGTGGTCACAGATAGCATCAACGATGACTAACCGTCGCTCGGTGTAGTATTCAGTAATAAGGCAATTTTGATTTTTTTTGTCAAGCTAAAGCTGTGGTTAAATCATTATAGGCATGTAACATTTCACACCAACGCCCACAGGGTAATGATTCCTTTCAATAATGTTTTTGTCCGTTCTGTCTCTTCTATTACTTTCTCGTTTGTACTGTATTTTCCATACTGCTTGTGTTAAGGACATTCTGTCATTTGTAATGCCTGTCCTGTGCTGTTTTCTCCGTCTGCATTTGTATTAATTTGCCTCGTATTCATTCCAACCATAAGCTTTAGAGAATAATGTTCATACATTTACTTGAATTTGAAAATAACACCGTTACATATTACGATGCGTATATCGTGAGTATAATGAATCGAATTAGATTCGAAGCTTTCGTGACTGCAGGAATGACTCTTTGGTTCTTTCGGTAAAGTCACGTAGAAAGAAAATAAATTCAATAATAATAGAATACGACGTTTCGATTGCAACACAAGCAACCGTAATCTGATACGAATGAATGAGAAAACAAATATAGTAAACGTATGAATATAATGCAATACAACAGAGAGTCGGCTAACATAACAGTCAACACCCTACCTGGTTGATTACGTTCTTCCAAAGATTGCTAAAAATGAGAGAGAGACAAAACACAGACACGGAGACACAGACATACACACAAGCAGGGGCGGAGCCAGGGGGGTGACAGGGGTGACATTCTGCGTATAAGTGTACGACACTCGGTCTTGCAGACTCCGTGCAACTGCATTGTCAGAGTGTGTCGCCAACCGATGGCGTCTAGTTCAACAACCAGACTCTAATCATTCTTGAAATTAAAATTTGTTGAATATCACCCCGGCCTGAAATCCTGGCTCCGCCCCTGCACACAAGCAGATAGAGACACACACAGAGACACACAAAGAGACACATCATAGACAAACAGAGAGACAACGCCTCTGTGTCGAGGTCTTAAATAGAGAGGGGGGGGGGGGGGTGGGGTAGAGAAAATAAAAGAGTTGTGTGGAATTTCTGCCCATAGCGACGGAGGAGAGACAATGGACTTATAATTATGATTGAGTTTAATTTATTGTCTTTTTACGTTACTTGACCGAAAGAAGCAAAAAGTATAATGAATCGACTTGAATTAATAATTCGTTCCATAGCTACTAAATAAGCTAATACAGTAATACCTTGGATTCCGAGTAATTTGGTCTGCTAGTGTTTTGCAAGACGAGCAAAACTTTTAAATAAATGTTAATTTGATAAACGAGCGAGGTCTTGCAATACGAGTAGTAGGTATACGCTTTGTCTGCCGAGCGTCACGTGATCACAACTGCTATACGAGTGCTTTGGATTACGAACATGTTTCCGAAACGAATTATGCTCGCAATCCAAGGTCTTACTGTACCCCCTTCATTGGACAGGCCGCGAAGATGCAGGAGGCGGTGAGGTTGGTGTCGTGTGGTGATGACATCCGCCTGTGGGATGCACCGACCCTCACTCTCATTGACCAGTTCAACCCGCACAGCACCGCACAGAGCATCTCTTCGCTCACAGTCTTCGGCCATCCTGACAATATCCTTTTTGTGAAAATAATGTACAAAGTCCTTTTGTCAATCAGAGGACTGAATAAGGTTCTCCCTGCGGCCGGTCAGTGTGGTTTGGTGAAGGTAGTGTGCCAAGACCAGTTCAGATATCACTTGCCACTGATGTTAGCCGTGGCTGGGAATCGAACTCCGGTGGAAATGCTTGGATCCTATAGCCACCGCCATTTGTTAGCATCTCTCTTCATGCCATATATCAGTGCTGCGGGTCAGAAGCAAGGAGTGCTAAAGTGCTGTCAACCATTTCGAGCCGTCTGGAAAATATATTTTGCTCTGCTGAAGATGAAGACAAATGGTGGACCCTCTTACTTGATGGAGTGAGACCTCCTGATTGTGTTTTCCATCACCGTGTTATGATGAGGCTTTTGGAGCGTCTTGGCCGTCTGCCGTGTTTCATACCGATCTATGTTTGCTTTCATTAGCCCTGGTGAAAAATGCTTTTTAAGTGCCGACCTTAAAGATAACATAAGCCCCCTGGAGTGCAGTGACCAAAGAGCTATGCTTCTTGACGATAGCCATTCTGCTGTGCCTTGCACGGTCATGAAATCAAAAAGCTTTTCATTTTATCGTGTGCATGCACGCGGCAGGAGGTGCTGATGCTAAGTTGCGTTTGCCTTGACATGCGACTAACGTCCCTTTGTCCTGAGTGCCTCTGAGAGTGGCGACCAGATTACTCTCACAAGCTGCAAGGTGGCTTGCATCACCGTTCTTCAGCTTGCCGAGGACGTAAGATCCAATTTCCGATTAACAATATAATTGTAAAAATATTAAATGTAAATGATCGCAAGACTCAAAATTGCACAATTGTCAGCACATATCAAGGTTGTGCATCCTCGACTGTGACACAAATTTCAATCTTAAAGGAGAATAAAATACTTTAATCTTATGGTAAAGTGTATTATATTATTACAGCACTCTATTGACATCACTCTCATAAGTTTTAATACGCCAATGCAAATACATCACTAGAGAGCGCTATGGTAGCACCCTTGATCATAACCTTAAAGTAATTATTGTGCTTTTCATCTTGGACAGCTTTGGTACCTGTCACTTAAAAGACAAACAATTGCAATGTATATTTCATTTTGAAAACATAACATTTGTTTTTCATTTCCCCCCCACACAGAAAGGACAGACTTGTGTCTCCCTCAGCTCCAACAGCCAGTTTGTCCTGAGCGGAGGAAAAGACGGCTCCGTGAACATCTGGGACCTTCATACAAAAAAGCTCCAGAAATCATTCACTGTGAGTTTGTCCAACACCCGCAGACTGTAGGAATGTAACGATGTATCTATTCATCCGGTAAATCGAGTCTTACGCTCTTAGTGTACTCATACAGCCCTACTGTCAATCCCCTGCTGGATGAGGGCCTCCACAAAGTGAGTCGTTGGGGTTGTTTGTTCTCACTTCACCATTGTCATTCGTGAGGGTTGGTGAAGATGGCTCGAGTACAGAACAATTGAATTTGGCTACACTGCCATGTAATCTTTGGCATTTGGTCTATTAAAATGTTTTGGCAACCGAGAAGACATATTGCGCCCATTGTGAATGACTGCAGGACCACAGCGCTGCGGTGACGTGCGTCTCTTACAACTGGAACGACAACTACGCGGCGTCGGGCTCCCAGCACGGAGAGATTATTCTCCACAACACGGTCACCAACCAGGCCAGCGCCCCCTTTACGCATCCAAAATCCCAGGTGAGTGCCGTGTGATAGTGAAACATGGGTACGTAAATGTTTTGTTACTAAAGGTGTATTTACTTATTTAGTCATTCCTAATCAAGCGAGAGCCTTGTGTTCAAGGCATACTTGGATAGGACACAGCTTTGCTCTCATTGTTTTTGTTTAAACCTTTGATCTTTTTACTTAGAATCTGTATTGCATTTGTTGACCTATTGTCTGGTTGATTGTTGGGTCAGGGCTCCGAGACTAGTGAGGAATTTGGCTGGCGAGTTTTCTTCACCCACTAACCGCATTCCCATCTCCCCCACTGCAGCGTAAAAAAAACCCCTTCAGTTTTTATCCTCATTTAATTTCACGTGAGCTGTTTCGATATGTCTTCAGATAAAGTAGAACGCTCATGACTGTGACAGAAACGCGTTTGTTGCCTCCCCTGCGGCCCAGCAGCCGGTGCAGGACCTGCAGTACTCGTACTTCAAGAAGGCGCTCTTCGGCAGCGTGTCTGACGACGGCTCCGTCGTTTTGTGGGACGCAAACGCGCGGCGGCCTCACCACGCGTTCACCGCGGCGCACAGGGCCCCGGCGTCAGCGCTCGCCTTCTCCCCCGTCAACGACCTCCTCTTCGTCACCGCCGGCCTCGACAAGCGGATCATCCTCTACGACATGGTCAGCAAGAGGTCTGTCGCAGCAGATGTTTTGCCTGTTGGCCGAGTCGGCCCCTTGGAAAAGTAGCCTGGGGCTTTTTCGCGGGATATAAGCTTCAGATTCTGAAAAGTGCATGTTGTGGATTGGCATTTTTCAGGCTTAAGGAAAAAAACGAGACGGAACTAATGGTACAATATGGATTAGAAGAATAAAATAAAGTTTAATTATTTCATGAAACAAAATATTTGACCAGCTAAAAGCCCTTTTTGAAAAGTGAGACCTGCATTGAGAATTCAGAGCCGAAATGATGCTTGACAATTCATTGCTCCGATTAGCTCCCCGCATCTCCGATTAGCATGGTTGGCTATGTACGGTGCGAAAGAAGTTCACCATACATACATGGCTGAGCAATCACGCATTTTTCGCTTGTTGCAGATCACAGATCAATCTGAGCGGTGCGTGATTACCGTATTTTCCCGCATATAACCCGCATACGCATATAACCCGCAGACGCATATACCCTACAAAAATAGCGTTTTGTGTAAAACAAATTTCAAATAGCACCTCCATATATCCTGCATTCATTCATATCTTTAACGTCGTTACCGCAGCTTGATTCCATCATTAATACGAAGTTTACATTTGTAATACATTCTACTATCAATTGTTAACATTTAAATCATAACGTGCTCAAAGAAAACAAACTAACCGGAAACGAGTGAACTTAAAACAGTAAATAAGTAACAAACTAAATATCCAGTACAGTTTTAGCACTGGTAGATTGCGCACTGCGCAGATAATAGCGGCAATACGGTAACGCCGTTGCCTTCCCCCCAACCCCCCACCCCTCTCTCCCCCAAGCTCTCCCGTCGCCGGTAAACAAAGTGCGCCCACTTCAAACATTGTCGTTTTATTGTACAAACAATTTGAATAATTTAAAACGTGATAACTTGTGCAATTTTAGTGTGAGTGGTTTATTCAGCAGTGCTTTAGTCAAAGGTAAGTGGATAGACCTACCATGAAAAAATTAAACGAGTTATGACATGTCACACGTGTAAAATATTTTTGGGATAGCCCGCACCTCCATATACCCCGCAGGGTCTTGTTTTGTTTGTAAAAAGTGGTATACCCCGCGGGTTATATGGGGGAAAATACGGTAATTCTTGGGTGCCTAAACCATAAATCTGTGCCTTCTGCTTCACAGTGGACGTTAAAGATCCTGTGACAGTTATTAGAAAATGAGTAAGCCATGTGTGCTGGCGTCATGGTTAGAATTTGCTACGTTTGATAAATTAATTGAAAACTACTAAATTCTGGAAATCACGTAGCAACAGATGAAAGCCAAAGTGCAGGCCGGTACTGCGTACACCCTGTGCCACACAGCGGCAGCTGCCACTAGGATCTCCTTGGCTAGACCACAGTCGGGCATTGAAATGGTTGAGATGACATGCGATATAAGAGGCTTTGAGTTGCTGAGGAGGCATTTAAGCAAGCGCCCTATGAATGGCAATCCTTATCCGTCATGCATCTCCGTGTTTGGAGTGCAGTTGAAACCTAAAATGCCGCGTGTGCAAGCGTTGGATGTTAACGAAGTTTGATTTCCTTTCTCTGCGGGTAGCATACTGCGCTCCGTGACGGCGGAGTCTCCTCTCACGGCGGTGGAGTTCATGCCGGATGGATCGACTCTGGCGCTGGGAACGTCACGCGGAAAGCTCATCCTCTATGACCTGCGCATGATGTCGGCGCCTTTGCGCAGTGTCTCGGCGCACAAGACGTCCGTGCGCTGCCTTCGCTTCCACCACAAGCATGGCGCTGCCAAAGTGAGCCGGCACAACCCAACCATTGTCGCTCGCACGAAGTTAAACAACTCTCCCCTTGTGTGTGAACTCAGCATAAAAGTCTTGGGGCTGTTTGCTTTTTATAAAGACTGGCATGAAATATATGATCCAAATCATATATGCAATACTGTGAAACAAAGCATGGTGGCGCAAGACTGGCGGATGATCGAGGGGAACCGCACCGCGGATGTGGAGTGATTCAATCAGCTCATTTGGACGCGCTGGGTGGATTATATCATTGTGAGACCATGGGAGATGGCGACGGCTTTTGGGGGCTTCATTCATAAGTAGATTATTTATAGCTAATGATCATCATCAATTTGTGTGGTGGTTCCCGGTGAATTGTTACATCGCACGATCACGAAAGGTGCCAATTGCTTGGGAGGTGGTGATGGCCTTCGTCCAGCAATGGATTGACCATAGGTCATGAAGATGATGACTGTACCACATATGACCACATTTACAATTATACTTCCATGAGGATTACTGAGAGTTGATACGTTATCAGTGTAAACATGCCACATACACTGAGAGATAGAAATGTTAGCGTACACCCTGTGCCACATAGCCGGCAGCTTGAGCAGGGACAGTTCTCCTGCTGTATCTGTTCCACCTGATGACGGTCGCTTGTGTTGCGATCGAAACGTTGTGATTTATTTTATTTTCTACCTACGTGACTTTACCGAAAGAACCAAAGAGAGTATGGATTCCTGCAGTCACGAAAGCTTCAAATCGAAATGTTACCATGTTCATCTAATTCTATAAACAGGTAGAAGAAGGCTAAATTTAACACGGACTTATTATTTTTTTAAATCTGCGCGTCTCGGGATGTATTTCTGTTATCATTGTCTACCTTCAACCTTCACCTCACTCAGCTGTCATCCACTCTCTTGTCTCCGTTTCTTCTTTGTATAGTCGGAGGCTCTAATTCATAATTTGGTGGAATCCACTTTTTGTTTGATTTTCAAGATGGGCAATCCAAATTGGCAACAGTTAGTGGCAACTTTCTACATTTTCTGCCACATATTTTGGAAAGTAGACCTTTTGAAGAGGAAATTATTCAAAATAATTGAACAAATCATTATTAATGCTGTATAAGCACATACAAAATCCCAGCACCTTTGTGATTAACATTGCCTCAGAGCACAGAACTATATACAGTAATAGGCAAAGGCTTTGGGCAATGGCGAATCTTTTTATAAAACGTTAGCTTACTTATATATTTTTCTCACATTAATCAGATTTTTAGTATTTCAAGATAATTGTTAAATGTAACATTTATATTATTATTTCGTGACTTTTAACACGTCTGCCTTTTGTTCATAACTATTATTTGTCAAAACAACTTAGCTTATATATATTTCCCGCCCCCACCCCCCCCCCCCCCCCCCCCCAAATGTCTCCCCATCCAATTATTTTTGTCCCTGTAGTCGTCTGCGTCAAAAAGTGCAGCGCCCTCAAAGGCCGTGGAAGCGCCTTCATCTTCCCTGGCCGGAAGCCGAGGAGGTGGGGTTGCTGTTGCGGCGCTTGGAGCAGGTGCAAGCGGCAGCAGGGTGCCAGCGCCAGCAAGCGGGGTCATCACTAAAGCTGTCATCGTGGGGCAAAACGGGGCAGGTTTGTCCACTGTTGAAGGCATTGTCCATTTAATTGCATTCAGAGGTATAGTCGTAGTAGTATGAGTGGATAATTACCATTAATTAAAGCCAGGTAAGAGCTCAGGAAAAAAAAAACAGATGGCTTTTGAGAACATATGTGAGTCGGACACTTTGTATATTGATTGCTAAGTAAAGTCAGGTGGCTTGGACAGGACATGTCACGCGTGGGGATGATTGTTGGTGGCCGAGGCTAACGAATTAGTGGCAGTCAAAGGAACGAACATGCCTGAGTGGAGGTCAACCACAGAGAAGAGGCAATGAAATTGTCTAGATTTGGATTGTTGCACTGCCAGGGTGAGAGATGATGATGGCTTTTTTGGAGGGGGGGGGGGCAGGTGGGGGCCTTTATAACGAAAATGTCTGACGATAATGTTTTATGCTTGATCTGCAAGTTGGCCAAAAGATGGCGATATGATGATTGACAGCAGTGTTTAAATAAGTGCAGCAAAACAAAACATGCATGACCAAAGCAAACGGAGAAACAATGATCCAGCTCGTTGTTATGCGTTAATGTGTTCATCTGCTGACATTTGGCGTAATGGGCACATGGCTGTGTTGTCGCGTCTGCCATTATGAATCTGGCCTCCAGAGGTTTGGTGCAGAACAGGCATCAGAATTTAATGGTGTTGATAATGATTTGTAACTTGTCTCACAATCGTCACTCAACCAGTGGTTGTACTGTGGAAATACTGGCCCCCGTCATAGGAATGTAGAATTTCTACTACTGCCTCGCAGCCACCAGCAGAGATGAGCACCACCCCATGCTCGTTTTAGTTTTTTTTGACAATCATTAACTATATAATATATTCATAGTCTGTTTTATGTCTGCTATGTGCCATTTTCCTTAAAAAATTTTGCAGTTGTCAGCCAGCTAAAATATAAAATCACTTTTGGAAGAGCATTATAAATGTTTCCAATGAAATAACGATAATTAATTTTGCTTTGTTGATTTGTGAGGAAAACTACAAACTTGAAACTCGGGCTATATTTATTACTTTTGCTGCAAAGTCACGGGCATGTTTTTCACCCAAGCAGACGGTATACTTGTTTGATAGTATATTGTCTACATTGTTCGTGTGCTCCTGATGTACTTGCAGGCTTGGTGCAGCCCACCAACCAGAACGCCCAGCTCAGTGGCCATGTCCCCGTTCAAGCGAATCACCTTGACATGCTGGGGCGAGATAGCTTTGGCGAGATGTTTTCACCTGTACGAGAAGGTGAGACGTGTGGAGTGAAGGAAAAAAACACATTTTATTTTTCACAATCTTACCGAAATTGTCAATTTTGGATTACGAGTTTTATTTGTGAACACACTGAATTTTGTATGCCCTTTGGGTTCATGTCAACCATGTTAATGGTTTGAATATATAGACTGCGTATTGGTTTGAATCCAAAGGCATGGTGGTATGAATTTCTAGATGATATAAAATCTGTGAACATGTAATAGTGAATACATAATTCTTGCATGCATGTCTCACGAGCCAAATGATCCATTTTAATTTACTATCACATCCATAATATACATATTTTGAAATTAACATTGTGTTAACAAAAACATCTGTTACAGTTTATAATTAATAATTTTAATACAGAGTTCCAAAACATATGTCTGCTGCCACACCTGTAAAGTCTGGTTTGTTGTCACTGTCAGGGTTGAGCTCGGAGCTGAATTCCTTGGAAAACCACGATCTGTCATCCACAGCTTTCACCAAAACCAGCTGTAAGTGGCAAGCAGTACAGGTACATTTGTAAATATTCCCATGCTCTCAAATAACTGTTACGAGGCCAACACAAAAGACGGTAAAAGGCACCCTCCACCCGGCTTCCCCCCCTTGCTTGCAGTGTCGGATGGCATCAGTCTGTACGCCGCCAGCGCTCACCGTACCCCCGTCAGCCAGGGAGCCGGTTCCACTGTCGCTGCCATTATAACCACCACCATGGCGTCGGCAGCGCCGGTCGCAGAAACGGCGTACACGACGCCGCTGCATTCTGCCCTGCCGCTCATCGACAGGAAGGACCCTGAGCTGGCATTGTTCGTAACACCAGACTCTGTGACGTACACGCCCAAGGAGGTGACGTGGAGCCAGGAGGCCCGGAGCACGGCGCCACCTTCCCCCGGCCAGGTCAGTCTGTGGCAGGTGCTGCTTGGGTTTTAGAAGAAATGGTTTTACGAGAACGTGTCTTGATGCTCAGGACTGCCGCGTCGGGTTTTCCGCCCTCTTCCTCTATCTTCGCTCTTTCCTGTCCTTGGCCATCTCCGTGTTCACGCCTCAGTCCTTCATATCCTGACCTTACCACTCAACTAGGTCTGCCTCTCGGTCACTGTCCTCTTGCTTCCGTCTTAATCATCTTTCTTCTTACGACATGTCTGACCTGTCCGAGTCAATTTTGTTTGAGCTTGTCTGAGATCGGCACTACTCTTTCCCTCATCTGCGAAAAAGAGCTTCATAGCTCATCGGATTCCTACCGTCTAAATAAAGATTCTGATACATTTTTTTTTACACGATCCAGTCTTGTGATCTGTGAGATCCGTCTTCATTCTGAAGTGTACGACATCTGCTCCTCCCTGGTGTTTAGTACTGTTGGTCATCATTGGTCTTTGACTGTTGTAAATACTTTCACAGTCATTTAGATTGGATCGGAATCTTCCTAGCACATCACTCCATTTATTTACATTTCACCTACACCTTGTGGGTCTTTGCTTTGTTTTATCCAGTCGCTATCCTGTTGTGGACCCTAGATACTCAAATATGTGTCGGCTTAAGTTAGAGGGGTCTGCATCGCCATTGGAGATTGGAATTTCCACCCCTGGTTCAGGGCTGCCAATAAAGATAAGGACCTCCCAAAGTTTGCTTGAATAGGAATGCACGTTAATTTTCACTTGATTCACTCTTTTAAATAATGTCATTGCAATTGCAATACTTGTTGTTGCTGAAGAATATGTTTCTATTCGTATTGGTCTTTTTGCAGGGGTATTTAAATTTACGTTCAATGTTGGCCAGTACGCGTTTAAATGGAATGTCATCAAGTGGCACTTCGACATTCTTGACCTTTCCGTTGACTGCGCAGGAAAATAGCACAGCGCCTCAAAAATAGTGGCACATGGTACACGTTCAGCATTCATATACTTTGGTATATGTGGAAATTATTTCATTTTTGTTGTATTGTTTTTTTTTCCCTCGGCATTCTTTTTTAATTACTAATCATAGACCGAGGACCAACCTTTACCGTGACACTAATCGTGAATGCTTTATGTTATCGAGTTACTTTTCAACATTATGAAAAAAACATCGAAATATTCACAATACATGTAAATATTTTATTTTTCAAATAATTAAGCAACATTTTAGGTATTTCAAAAAAGTGTTATTTGTGAAAGTGTTATTGTCATATACATTACACTTTGCTCCCGTCTTCCTTGATTACAATTTTTACACACGTGAAGAATGCTGATGTTGAAGGATCCCTTACTGTGTCAAGCATTTTTGTACTCTGTTAACATGCCTAGTGTGTTTCTAACAGTTTTGGTTTATTTTAATTGTTTGTAACTTTCTGAGCCACCCCAACTGGAGAACTGTGAAAAATAGCTTCATAGCTCATCGAATTTCCTCCAGGATAAATAAAGATTCTGATTCCAATTCCGTTGTGTTGACACCATCGCTGCGCCCATCACCTGCTTTCGCTCCCACAGTTTGCCACGCGGCCGGGCTCGGTAAACTCCAGCAACTCCGAGGCGTACACGCCGACGTCCGCTGGTAGCGCAGCTGCCCTGGGCGCGAGCCCGCATCTGAGCGGGCGCGAGCGAACGGCTGGCGGGGACGCTCGTGTCTCCGGCACTCCAGTCCTCCCGGCCACATGTGAGAGCCCTGTTCTGTTTATCGGCGTTTGCGAGATGGTGGCAGAGCGTGGGAAGGCGCAGGGGGGTAAAGTTGCAGGCATGGTAACGATTCGCTCCCTCGCGATTCAATCCCTTTGCCACAATTTGGGATTTGAAGCAAGAATGGATTATATTCCGCTTTGTAGTGAATTTGGCGCATATAGTGGCTGCATGGGTCACGTAAATCGATGGCATTCTAAAAGTTATTATATGCACTATTTTGTGCAAGTATCATTTCTGTAAAAATACCTATAATCGATTAATTGACGTGTCCACCTGTACTTTAGCCTCCTGTACCCTGGGCCATGCTGTGGTGTTGCCATCTCCCAAGTGGTCTTTTATCATTTCAACTTATTCCCTGATGTTGTTGCTCATTTAATTTACGCACGCGGTAATGGGATGCGGTATTATTAAAAAGCTATATGAATTGAAATTGTCGTTACATTCGAAGTAACCCGTGCTTCTATCAGTGACTGTCTCTTTGGTTCTATTGGGTAAAGTCACGTAGGTAAAAAATACGTGACTTTACCCAATAGAACCAAAAAGTATGGATCATAGCAGTCACGAAAGCTTTAAATCTAGAAGTGACTGTCTCCTCTCTGTGAAGCATCTTTATTAATACCGCTTTGTCCCTTTGTCTGCCCTACACACCACTGTACTCTTTTCCCTATTAAAAAAAGTAAATTATTCCAAGTGCTCTCAATGTAAGCAGCACCTTGAGATGCAGACACGTCTAGACGCTATTATGAAACCCCATTTTAATTGTAACCAACGTTTAAAATAATAACAAACCTTTTATGAACGTTTCTCACATCCCTCTGTGTTAGTGTGAAAATGAGTGCAAGGAAATACCATGGCCTCAAAGATTGTTAACATAAATTGTAGATAAATTGAGCCACTGTCTTTTTTAGAACAAATCACATAAGATAGATACCACTACCTTTGTCACTAACACTGGCATATTACAGAAACATGCGAGTGTATAATAGCTCGATGCTTAAGGCAGTGGCTCTCTTCTTTTGAGATGATGATGAATGTTAGTATGGGTTACTATGTCCTACTGTGTCCAATGGAAGTCTGTCCTGTACAGAGGAAAACAAGGGGATCCTCATGAGATAATTGCCATCGCATAAAAATAATTGCCATCACAATTTCTCATTAACTTTTCATAAAAGTGAGTTTCTACAATCCTGTACCATGAAAAATGTATTTAGATTTTTGCACTGGAGTGAATGTAGTGACCCCTAGCAGCTCGAGGGGTTACTTGAACCAGTTATTTGCAACATATATGATACAAATATATTATGCTTTGATTTGGAGCATTCATGGATTCGTACATATTAATAAATTAATCGACCCAGGTGACCTGTGCAAGAGGCAATATATCGTGTGTCCCACTGGGTTTATTTAATCTATAATAGAGGTTTTTTGGGTTAGATCGCGTAAACATATAAATGTGTCGTTAAACCCTCCACCACCCGACACAACCAACTAGTAAGGGTTGTCACGTAAACAGAACATGCCAATTTGTCACCAGTACAGCACACCGGTGTGTTGGAGAGCCAAGTCACAACATTTACAATCGTCTCGCCAGTAATTACATCTAGCTTCATCAGGCGACAGCCAGATTTGTGGAGAAGTCCACCTGTTTCGTTCCTTACATAGAGGCTACATTATGCATGCGCATTATGCGGGCCCATTGATCTTGTCCTTCCTGTCCATTGTGTGTATTAAAATAGCCGTACCAACAGTCATCCCTAATTGAAGTATGGTGGCCTGTATAGGCATGCATTCAAACTATATTATTCGCTTCCATGCAGCACTAAATATAGAATATGACCCCTATATTCTTGATGTTCCTTATGAAACAATACAATGGGAGTGGCAGAGCATTAGCTTAAAAGTATTCATGCATTCGCTCTCTTCTTTCTTCTCTCTGTCTTAGGGATACGATACATCTCGTAAAGATTATCCGATATGAGTGCCACATTAGTATGAAGTTTTTTCTTGCTATTCAACGACTTCTTTCCCTTTAGAACACTGGCCAAATTGATCAAAGGGTGTTTCAAAACTTGAAGACAAAATCCAGCACTCAAAGAATTTGCCTTGGCATCTGTGCCCTTGTGGTATCTCTGCCCCCGCGGCTCCCCTCCCCTGTGCCATCTCGTGTCACGTGCCACGTAACGTCATCTTTGTTGTTCAGCTTATCGCTGCTTGAGACCTTCCAAGAACAAATGCATGTTGGAAAGTTATTACAGAATCCATGCACATTCATGGTTTTTATTATTTGCTTGTTTGACTTCGGTCTGACAGTCCAATGTGTATATGCCAACAAAAAAGTTGCCTCCATCACCCATCCCTGAAGCCTCGTGCCCATCTGCTGTTCCACTCATGCCCCTTTGCCTTGCATTTTAACCTTCTCCCTAGGGCGACGCTCATTGATCTAGGACGGCTGGCGTTGCTCCTAAGAGCGAGCTAGCGGCAGGAACGACGTCTGCTTATTTTCTTTTTATGTCTAGGTCTGCTGGCGCAGCGTCCGCATTGTATTGATGTCGCTGCGCCTTTTGTGACGCTGCGCGATCTTAACGAGCGCTTGCTTATGAGCCACCTCAAAGTCACCGGGATGTAAATGCAAACTCTCGCACGCTTTGTGCGTTTGATGGTGCGCTTCAAGTACGGGCAAGTCCTGGCTTGCCATCCCTCGCGTTTGCAAAGAGGCAGTCGAGAATGCACCCTTGCGCTTAACAAATAGGCTTGGGCAGAAATGAGAGCACTCCTGTTTTTTTTTGCGTGCGTTAAATTGTTGCTCTTCAGAGGCCAGCCTGAAACCAAATAACCCAGTTGTTGCCGGTCCCACACTTGTGTACGCTTCGTGCGTTCTGTACCAGTACACTTGCACAGTGTAGCTGCAGTACGTGACAAAAAAAATGTGCGTGCTTTTGAGTTTGTACATTTATCCTGCAAGTAAAAAAACACGTGATCCTTATGTTTATTTTTGTGCTTGCAAATTTAACATATGTTTTTATAAATAAAATAATTTATAGTTGTATCATTTAATATGGAGTGGAACAAGAGTGGTTTGCGCTCTACGCTATGAACCTGCGACCTGAGTTTCGATCCACGGCCAGAGCTACCAGTGATGTCTGAACCAGTATTGGGCTAAGCTTAGAACTACATACCTGTCAACCCATACGGTTTACCCGTATTCTTTTACAGGGAAATTGAGTTTTCAGATCCATACGGCTTATAGCCCTTTCAATACAGGCAAAATAAATTGTCTTTGTATTTCTCCCTTGTGATGGGACTTTGTGGGATGAACGTTGAGCTTTATCAGGGCACAGGGTGACCAATAAGGTCTGAATTAGTCTGTAATAAGGTAGGCACCGATAAGGGGTTGACAGGTATGGAACTATGGTAAAAACAACCCGCATGACCGACACTGCGTGGATAGGCCTTCATCCAGCAGTGGATTGACAAAGCCGTGACAAAAATAGGAGTGCAGTGGCATCACTTCTGATGGTGACTTTTGGTTCTTTGTCTCAAACAATGCTTCGAACTCATATGGGACAGACCAGGATACGCGGCCTAGGTATGCATCTATAAAACAACTGTGTATTTGAGTTTGCCTTACAATTTGCATGCTTTAAAAATATATATTATTGCTATTTCAAATCACCTTGAATGCAACTGAATCTTGTGAGATCTTAGAAGCTAAGCAGGACTGAGCATGCTTAGTATGCAGATGGGGGTGTCAGGTTTCGTAGATTTGAGCTCTAAGGTTTGACCAGGAGATAGCAGTGAAGCGATGGAGTCTTGACTCAACCAATGTTGGGGCTTTGAGTGTCGTGCCGTACATAGTACTGTATGCGTGAGTTTTCTTCACATTCCGTTTTCCTCCCAAGCGTGAAAAAACAATCGCGGAATCGGCCAAACATTGCGATGCAGGACAATCTTGAAAAAAGTATCGAGACTTTAATCTCTCCTGGATGGAATGCTTCATTATTGATTATTATTGATTACAATTTTTTTCGCGTGTACATTTTCTCGATCTAGACACGGCGGTGACGCCACCCGGCAAGCCGGCGGTGGAGGTGGCGGGAACGCTGGCACAGCGAGTGGCGGACGTGGTGCAGAACGGCGAGACCCACCAAATGCTCACCCCCTTCCAGGTCGACTTCATCCGAGGCATGATCGAGGACACCATGGAGACCTACACGTACGTGTGTCTCTCCTGAGCCCCCCCCTTGCGTCGTTTTTGTTCTCACTCGTGTTGTCGCGCAGTCACAAACATTCCGTTCAGAAGTCTTGCGGAGAGCAGTGCATCACGTTATATCGGAGAACCGCCTAGGAAGATTGTCGCACGCCTACTTCTGTGTTCCCCTTGTCATAGGTGACATTTTTATGATTGTGATGTACTCATTTCGGGGATAAAAACCCCATAAGATGAAGAATTTATTAATTAATTCTCTCAAATAATAATTGATGGAATCTTGTTTTTTGTGGTTGCTTAGTCAGATATATTGGCAATGCCTTTGATCCAACATTTCGAAGGCAAGAGTTGTGGTGGATCACCTATATTTGTGAAAATGTTTCATTTGAAAGGCATAGGCCAAACCCTAATCCCAGTAGAAAGAGGTTTTCCGAGATGAAAATTTTACACGATTGTTATTATTATCATCGTTAAGAGGGCTACCAATTTGTGTTTGTCATGCAGGGATGCATTCCATCGGGACATGGTGAACCTGCAGGTGGAGATGCTGCGGCAGTTTGAGATGCAACAGGTGAGTCGGCACGCCGCTGTGAAACAATCCAGGGTGTGCGCGTATAGTTAGCAATTCAGATTTGTCAGCTCCATCGTTCAGAGCGACGCGAACCAGAGTAGACGTCACCCGAGGGTAGAGTCACTGTTTCTGTTTCCTCTGGGTCACATGCTGAAAGCGGAACCAATTGTAACAGCCCTTTTTTCAATCTGCCGCTGGATGAGGGCCTTTTGCGCTGTCCCAGTCGTGGAGGATATTTGTTTGGTCATTGTAGTTTGATGAAGGCAGCGAGAATAGATGTTTGGGGTGCCGCGGTGACGAGATGTTATAACTACCTCGCCTGGTATACAGGGAGTTTGCGTGTTCTCCCTGTGGTTGTGTGGATTTTTCTCCGGGTCCTTCGGTTTTTCCCCTCCACATCTAGAAACATCCGTTTCGAGTATTTGGCTGCGATATATTTCCACGTGATAAGCCACTTAGGTGAGCTATCATTTGTGGCCAGGTCGCTTCTGAAAAAGAGATGTATCTCTCAGTGGTCCTTACCTGTTAAAATAAAATCAAAATATAGTTAAATATAGTTTGCGTATAGTGCAGTACATCAATGGATTTTCCCCGCATTGCAGCTTCAGTCGCGCTCATTGACACGTGCGGTTTGCATGCAAATGATTTGTCACTGCCCTGTGTTCAAGACCTATATGTGTTTGGTTCAGTGTCCTTAGTAGTGGGCGCCTGTTGGCATTGCACTTCTGTTTTGGTTATGTGGATAGTGCGCTTGGAATGAGACTGCTGAATGCAACTGTACAATCTGGCTCTGCCTTTGCAAAAAATGCTAAATTATCTCTTACACAATGAGAACTGATGCTGTAAAGCAGCTTGAATCAGCTCAGTAGTTTGTTTGCCAGGGAATAAGGCGTGCCGTTCATTTTGCTTTTTGAAGTTAATCCAGCATATAAAATAAACATTCTGCGTATCCTGACGTTACTTGCCAGTAGGTTTGTTTGATTTTTATGGAACAGTATGTATGTATGAGTGTCATTTGTTATTCCCAACACTAAGTAAGATATGTTGGGAATATAACAAAGGAAAAAACATCCGATGTTATGCTTAGCATGGCGCTCGTCTTAATTTTCACATGGCCAGCAATTCGAATTTCATTACGCACAGCGTAACAATTTTGAATTAACTCGTTTTCTCAGTTTTATTTAAAGTTAACATGAGAATAAACTGTGCTTGCACGAGTCTGTGTATGTGGGTGTGTGAAGGCGGTCGGGCGTGTAGCTGGCCACCAACCCGCTCATGTGCCATGCCGGCCTTCATAGGTGCCCACTAACAGCACTGCCCCTACAGTCTGTCAAGGCTACACAGGGGATTTTTGTCTTTGTGTGCACGTGTATGTATTTCTATATTTTGTGTGTCTGCATGTGTGGGGAAACGTGGTTAGCCCACTGCGCTCCAATCTAAACGGTTTTCATTTGTTTCCCATCCAATACTAATTTCAGTGGCAAGTGATATCTGAACTGGTTTTGGGCCCTCATCTGGGTTGACTCAGTACGTGGTGCGATGTGCAAACATCAGCGTTGGGGAGAAGGTGGCTAGGCATGGTGCTGGCCAGACCACATCATTGTACGCTCTGCCAGCCTTCATAGGTGCTCGTGAACAGCACTTGCCCCAACGGTCTGTGTATGCTATATGGGGAATATTTGTCTTTTTCTGCATGTGTGGCAACATGTGCCTGCGCATGGGTCTTTGTAGGGTATGCGTTTATAGGTGGTTGTATGTTATATGTGTGTGTGCGCGTGTGCTTGGGCTCACCGGACCGTTCAAGAACGTGATGGAGTCCCTCCTGGAGCGCTACTCCATCAACTACACCCTCGTCGCCGAGATCGAGCGCCTACGCGAGGAGAACAAGAAGCTTCGCTCCAACTACTGACCTCTGACCTTCTCAAAAGTTAGATCCACATGCGAGCGATAGGTTGCCCAACTCGATTGCGTGCAACTGAATCGCGTATGTGTGGATGTCTCCAGCAACCGTTGTTCACAGCCGAGACACACTACTTTCAAGCATTGATCAGCCCAGCGATTTGTAGCGACGTAATTTTGTCATGCGCTGCACACTTGTGAACTTTCAGTCAGTCGTTCCAATCATAGATGCGGCGTTTAAGTTTGTCGTTGCTTTTAATGTCCTTGTTCCGCAACTATTCGCTCGGATGTGGACAAAGCAGTTGCAAGCGATTACTTGGTGCGATTTCAAGAGCGATTTGGTTGCGCAACTGTTGGCTTCAGTTCTGGGCCACGGTAAAGACGACTACTGACCCTCTCCCATCCACTTCTGCTGGAAGTTTTAAAGCAATATGTGTGGAGATAACATTCACTATGGACGAACAGCAATAACCATTCGTGTTCTATGTCCCTCTTGTAACACGCTCATTGCCATTTACCTGTACATATGTCTATATTAATCTGGGGAGCGGTAGTGTCGCGGTTAACACGCTGCGCTACGAACCCGGCGACCCAAGTTCGATTCCCGCTCACGGCCACCACAAGTGACGAATATCTGAACCAGTCCTGGGCCTCCACAAGGTCGTCTCAGCTTTAAAATGATTACCTGGTGCGGTGTGTAAAAACATCGCCAGAGGGGAGACGAATGCGGTCGGGCGTGGTGCTGGCCACCCACCCCCCTCATGTACGGTGCTGGCCTTTAAAGGTGCTCACGAACAGCACTTATCTAAAAAAAGTCCCTTTAGGCTACAAGGGGGATCTTTCTATATTCACATGTGTGTATATATGTATATTTATGTACCTGTCCATGCCTGTTAAAACGTGATTAAGGGCTAAACATTTTGAAAAGCACATTGAGGAGGGTACTGTACCATCATAGCGGAAATTTTTCAGAAGAACGTGCCCAAATTCTTGCGATAAGAACCTTGTTTGCGTAGGTCACTTGGCTCAGGAGTGGAAGGCAAACTGTAGGTCACGTGATCGCACAACAAAAATGTCTGGAGCCGCGAGGAGTATGGGGATATGCCACACTCCTGTATGCAGATAATGCAGTAGCAGCAGAGGTGAAAACGTGGAACTTTTGTAATTAAGACGACCTGCCTGCACTGTCGGAGCCAGTGGGAGTGGGGTGGCACGTGCCCCTCCCCCAATGATCCGATCGAAATCCCTAATTTATGATTAAGTGCCAGGGACTCTATGAAATGATAGGACAATAGTCTGAGTCCATAATTGGCAATACGTAACGGCAAAGCAGTTATAAGTGACTCACAGAATTGTGCGCAGTTGCGTATGCAGTACACGACTTGCCTGAAGGCATTCACCTTCAGCGAGCGCGATGCCGATCACACAACGCGGTTCGAATTCGACCCCTCGATCGATGGCTGCGCCATCGCCGCACACTCGTCGAATAAAAAGCAAGGGGCAACTCCTTACTAACAACTCCTATCATTTTTCATTTCTGGAGGGGTTGCCTCCCCCCCCCCAACTGAAAATACTGGCTCCGTCCTTGCCTGTGGCTCACTGCTCATCCACCTTTAACGTGGTCCGGTGGCATTTGCTTTGGAGGGCATGAGACATTTAAACCGTATTCATCGAGTGCTAGTGCCTCCTTGGTTGTCACTGCACAAAACACAAGAAATCAAATGTTAAAACAGGCTGTGGGGTGCAGTTTTATCTGAACATGTACAATTAAAACCAGGGGTGGGGGGGGGGTCTTTATAAAGGAGTTTATCCATAAATAGCACGTCGGTTAGATATTAACAGCCATAACCTGCCTGGACGAGTTTCGAAAAATTCCAGCGTGGTGCAGTAAGCTATCAAAAATGATTACAGTACATGCAATCTACAAGTCTTCCGAGTTGTACAAAACTAAACACAGCGCAGTTTTTTAGCCGTGCATTGTTAAAAGAGACACGTGGGGGGGGGGGGGGTGGTGTGGACAATGTATAAATGCATTTAAAGTGATTTGATCGAACTTTCATATTTGTGTTAATTTAACAGTTTTTGCTCACTCGGTCTGGTTGGAGCGAGCGGTTCCGTGGGAGGTCGGTAAACTTGCCCCGCCAGAGTACAGTGACAGAAAATAACCACATTTCGTGTGTGTGCTGTGTCATGGGTAAAGAAAAAAAGGTCCTGAATAATAAGTATCCTGTTTTTTTATGAGTGCCTTTCCTTAATCCGTCGGTGTAAACCCCTCCCAAAGGAGGAAAACCGTTACACTTCAAGATGTTAAAAAGCTCTTGTGTCGGTGCCTTAGTCTTGTAGAGCTTTTGAAAGGAATGAAAAGTAAAAAAAAACCTCAACTGCTGAAACCTCTCTGCATTCATCCTGGTTTGTACCTAGCACCATTTTTCGACATCAAACGTACCATTCTTGTCCTTATATTATGCCTGTTCAACCTCTTATTTGATCATTTTCAATTGGTATGCATTCGGATGCATATTTTTAATGCCAGCCTTTGTACGAGTTTGCGTTCCATGTTGGGTATGGCACTTAATAAACCGGCGATTATTCATGATACAGAATTGCGCGGCTGTGAAAAAAAGAATCCCCATCAATGTCTGTTCACGAGCGTAGGGCATAGTGTGCCTACGCCATTGAAACACTGCCGCCCACATTTACGAAGTTACGGAATGTTTCTTTGTACTTTTCAAAGGCCGCCCCTTCGATTATAACCACAGTGTGTCGACTTATCTTCAACGGCGCCATTACGTGGCAGTGTCTGGGTTGCTATAATTAGAGCACTCGATTTGCAGTTGGAAGCTTGTGAGTTTAAATAGAAATCGGGAGTTGACTCATCCCGTGTTTGGTTTTCAAAGAACTGGCCCTGCCGTGGGAATGTGGAATTTGCCTCTACTTGCGCAGGGCTGCCATTGGAGGTAAGCCGAATTCTATGCTCACTTGTTGCAGGCAGACTGCCCAATCTTCAGTCGTGCAATACATAAGTGGGCATTCGGAGTGAGTGGCTGGCCAGGTTTGCAAACTGAAGGGCCCCAACAATATTCGAGTACAGAATGCACAGTTTGTACCTAATTCTAAAGATCCATTGTAAATCGTGCCTATAATAAAAAAGATCGTAACAAATGACAACAAATGAGAGTATGATTTCAAGAGCAGAATTATTTCAATGTGCACGAATTTTGACTTAAAGCTTTCGTGACTGCAGGAATTCATACTCTTTGGGTCTTTCGGTAAGGTCAGCAGTTCGCCTGCTGTAATTTTTTTACCCAAGGACGATTGCTTGTGTTGCGATCGAAACGTATTTTTTTCATTGTTTTTGTATCTACTTAACTTTACCGAAAGACCCAAAGAGTATGGGCACGAATTTCTTTACGTTTCCGCCAGGCCTGGGTACAATAGAAATGTTCAGAGTAACAATCCTGGCGGTTCGATAAATGTTCGCGATTCAGAATCGCAATTTGATGAGTGATCCACATGCTGTGAATACAATGGCTGGGGTCAAATGAATTTGATAACATGTGGCAGGCCCTTTTGTGAACTGAACGCCTCCCTACGTCAGTTTGGGTGGTGTTTGACCATACTTCCCCACCACGGGTTCGTGAATGGCGATACCCCAAGCCCAGCCACTGATGTGAGCTGCAGCCAGGAATCGGATATTCCGTTCTTACTGGCTGTATAGGGCGGTGCGCGTACCATGCACCACCAATCCCTCCACATGCAACGTATGTTAAACTTCTTTCGCACCGTACGTAGTCAACCGTGATAATCGGAGGTGCGGGAGAAGGACGACAAACTAAACAAACGTATGGATATAACAACGTCAGTTAATCTTAATGCGTATATCTTGAGTGTAAAGGTCACATTAGTCGATGACAAAACGCACCGTAAGTACGCTGGTGTGTGATACATTGCATTGAGTACGAGGGCCGGTGGCGATGTTTGTCCCAGACGCTAGGGGTTGCTGTGTTTCTGTGTTGTTGCCCAGTGGGGTAAGTGATGGGCATTCTCTGGCTGTCTCCTTTGTGACTCCATTTGAATCGGCGAGCTCTACGTTTAGCAATCATCAGGCGGGCGTGGTGTGTAACAGATGAAGTTGTATTTGGACAGAGATACATGGGTAAAACTCAAGAATGTACGGGTTTTTTTCAACAATGATTTAAATCACGTCGAGCAAGGCGCTAAGTAAAAGTATTAAGTATTTTTTTTATTTAAACAGGTGAGAACTCAAGATGACAGAATGTCTAATTTGCAAGAATGACCCACATCACCAAGTGACAGAAGCAAAACAAGATAAAGTACCGCAAAATATAACATAAACAAATTGTTAGCTAATGTCCCAAAAGATTTGAATGTGTTGCCACACTCAATTCAAGCAGACCACCACCATCATCATCGTTATTCTTATGGAAATGTAATTGTAAATGTGACCATATGTGGGACAGTCATCGCAATTATTAAACATGTTCTATCCCATCATTAGACCTTTGCCAGTACCAAAATATAATAATTGGGTGTTTTTTGTTTGCATTTTGACCACGAGTATTGTGGTTAATGCACACATGATTCCTTGTAAAAAGGTTTAAGTTTTGTTGCCAGTAAAAAAGGGAAAACACCTATTATTATATGTTGGTACTGGCAAAGGAGGTCTAATGATGTAGCTGCTTACCCCGAGCCCTCATTACTCTGATAGTGCATTGTCTTTGAGCTGTGTACGCCTTTTGGCGTCATCTGGTCTAGCACCAATTGAGACGAGGCTCAAAAGAAAGCCATCTCTGGTGTGGACCAATCAGTTTCAAGGAGAATGCATATATTATCAGTGTGTTTTTTTGTTTGCATTTTGACCACAAGTATTGTGGTTAATGCACACATAATTCCTTGTAAAAAGGTTTCAGTTTTGTTGCCAGAGAAAAGGGGAAAACCCCTATGATTATATTCTATCCCCTGCTGGATGAAGACCTCCCCAAGCGGACACCGTCTCGTGATACATCGCTTCAGTATCTGCACGCAACAAATAAATAAATGGAATCCACATTGGTCATGAACACCGCCTTTTGACCAAAAATATATATATATGAGGCTGATGTTTTTGGCAATGTCATTTCTCTCTGCTCGGATAATCTCTCCAGCAATTATCTTCCTTTGTTCAGTGAACATATTGTACGTGCCTTGTATGGTTCGTATTCATGTTTGCCCTGATACTGATATAAGTGACAAACGATGGGATTAAACTTGAGGTGTGTGTGGTCTCCAGCCAGCCCACGACAGCCCTTCCGAGGCAAGAGGTGGTTCGATGAAGCGAGTTTTGTGCAACTCCCAGAGCCACTGGGCTGCTGCAAAGGAGACAGCAGCAGCACAGCGCGTGGATTCATGAACCCATCTGTGTGGACCCTTTGAGCGTTATCGTCGTGTGTGGTGGGTTCTCTGGAGATTCACCGGTTCCCTTCCACGTGCAACCAAAACGCGAACTACTGAGTTGGACAACACAAAAACATCACAATGTAGGAGCCTTCTGAAAAATTTAGTTTGAAACTTGAGCCCCTTCGTGGATAAATACATGAATAATAAACAGTGCGGTCGGGGCAGGGTAGTTTACACGGCCGTTATACGAACATAAATGACCGCCTTA